GGGCGGGGTGGGGCGAGGTGAGCCCTGGGGGTCCGGACTACTGCCTGTCGCGGGAGGGCCGCTTGACGGTGTACACATGTGGGGCAGGGTCCAACGCGCGTCCGCCCTGCCGCCACCCGCCGCCGCTACTGTACGAACTCGGTGGAGGGGGAGCTCTCGCGAGGCCGACAGTGACGGCCGTGCTCGCAGGTTGACACACAAAAATAAGAAGCGAGTGGAATTTTAATGTTGTATTCTTAAAAGAAGTGGAAAAAAGTAACAGTATTTACAGCGGACATCGATACACACTTGCTACGTGTACCGAGCGACCCTCCAAGTTCTCGCTCTAGTGATCGTCATTTCTCCGAACCTGTAAATAAAAAGAAACAAAACCTAAGAGTAACTAAGAAAAAACATGATTAAATACTGTTTGTGTTCACACAGCAATGCTGTACCGCACGGCACCGTATGCGCTGGTTATGCACGGGCACGGGGCAACAGCAGCAGGTCAAGTAGAGCAAGCCGAGCAAGCTCACACAGCTCCATCTGATTCTGGCACGACTGTGCTGGAGCCGTGGACCCAGAGTAAGCAATAATTCTGTTCATTTAAAATTCATCATTGGAGGAGTAGCCGGCCGCGCCCCGCTGTTGCAAGAGAGCCCTGCGGCCCCGTGCCTCGGTGGAAGAATCATTTTTTGTATGCTATTTTTACAACTGTAGGAATAATTGTTTATAACAGCGTTAGGAAAGCGATGAGTAGGCCGACCCCTACAATGAGTGCGGAAATTCTGTCGTATTCACACTAAACCTTTATGCATTTTGTTGCGCATAAAGATGTACAATTTTAAGCAGCCATAAGCAGTATGCACAAATTTTATTCATAGTTATCTACAAGTCGTGCATAACTATGCACAAACTGTTCGTAGTTATGCATAAAATTGTTCATAATATTATTGGCTTCTTAAAATCCTCCATGTTTATGCACATCACAATGTATAAATGATTTAGTGTGTTCTTTCAAACAGTGCCATATTCTGTCCTACTGTTACAGAGACGGCCTTGTCAGAGCCAGTGACAGCGGTGGTCGGCTGCGTAAGCCGTCCACCCACACACGCTACATTACATAACGGCAGACACGGGGTGGACGCTGGACGCTCTGGACGCGGACAACCCACCTCTGGGCGCCACTGCCGCCGTCTCGGTCCCAGAGAGCAGCCTCCCCGGCTTCCGCTCACCACCGCTGGTACATGGACAGGTACGGGCTGTAGTAGTACTGCATCAGGAACAGCGGCGACGAGAAGAGCAGGACAACCTCGAGGGACACCCACACGACGAGCACGTACAGGATGGAGAGCACCATGGCCGCGCCGGCGCTGTCCGCGTACAGCACTGAGCCGGCGGCGGGCCTGGCGGCTGTTCGGCGTTCACTCACCTGTACAGCCGGCCGGCGCAGCCAACGCCAACCCCGGCCCGGCTCGGCCGGCAAATGCACGGCTCGGCTGAACGCGGCGCTCAGAGCGCACTGCGCTCTGCTCCGCTCGGCATCCTTGAACTTGGCGGCGCGGCAGCCCGTGGCAGCCCGCGTCAGCACAGCGGCGTGGGAAAGTCGGGAAAGTGCGTGCGGCCCACCCCCTTCCCTCCCCTGCCCCTATCCGCTCCCCTACTTCCCTCCCCTGCCCACCTCCCCCCTCTACCGTCGCGGTGACAACTTTTAGCGCCCGGCCCGTACCGTACCTCCCGCCTCCCGCCCGTAGGCCGCCGAACAACTGCGACCGCAAACGGGGCGCGCCGAGTGGAGAGATAGTCAAAGTATAGCGCCATGAGTGTGGCGAGTGAGAGTGAGAGTGAGAATGTCGGAGGGAGGGCGAGAGAGAGAGAGTGAGAATGTTAGAGGGAGGGAGGGAGAGAGAGAGAGAGGGGGGGGGGAGTGTAATATAGAGAGGAACGTCATAAAAAGCGAAGCGATGCGGTAGAGCGTCCTTGCGCGGAAAGTGGGAAGGGGGCGATGTGGGCGCAAATGCTCTCGATTGCTTTCTCAAACGTGTCTCCTTTTGGCTCGCACGTTGGGTAGGGAGAGAGAGAGAGAGGGGGAAGGGGGAGG